CCATTTGATTTAATATCCTATAAATCTCCCATATGATTTCTAAAAATAAGGCTTTCAATAAATTGACGGAGATTTTATTATACTGTGGTATCTACCAATATATTAAGATTTTCTATTATTCGAATTTCCTTCGAAGTTAGGGTTAAACGTTGTTTCAAAATTCGTACAGCTTGGATCYATCAGGAGCTATATTAAAATACGCTGAAGCGCTCTATTTTTCAGTCAATCTCATGAGTAATATACCCTATTATCCATTGGCACTTACATATGTATAAAAATTATTTGTTGTGTAAAATTCATTATATTAATTAATTTATATAATATAATACCAATTAATTAATCGTAATAATATCATAAATTATATCAAGATTTTGATGAGAAAAAAGGGTAGGAGATGATAAACACTCCTGGCTCATGCCAATAAATTACATTAATTGAGTACTAATCCGTAGACGTTTACGTAGGTTTTAGCGGAGCTCCAGCCACATCAGGCAAAGCCACACCAATACCATTGGGCCCATCCAGCGCATCACCGAACGTAGCAGCCCGACCACAATCCAGTCCTAGAAGACCTTCACTCTCCGCTCCCGTTAACAACGCAGTGTCGGAGAACGATGATGATTTCTACTTGCAGAGGAGCGATGTCTCTGACAGTCAGCTCCAGCAYGACCTTTTGCGGGGCAGCAGCTCGGGAAATTTCTTCAGCAACAAGAACAGAGGCGTCGAGAACCCAGACGACTACGATGAWGGTCGGGTGATTACTTCATCTAAAGATGTGCCAAAGAAAAACACTAAAGCACCATTCAGAAAACTATTAACAGGCAAGAAACCCGTTTCCGAATCTGCCACGAGTGCTCCGAGCACTGCCTACGGCACCACTGGCACCACCGCCGCCGCTGCTACAATCACAAGCACAGTCAGGCAGCCCAATTACAAGCCAACCACGTACCGGAGCAAAGACCGCGGCCGTGTGAACTACAAGACGTACTTAGACAAACAAACCAAAGCTGATGAATATGACAGTCAAAAAGTAGCAAAGCCCGCCACCACCATCCAATCCACGACGTTCGCTCCATCAACCGGTAATACGTACCGTTCACAACCTACTGTGACYGCAACTGCCATCGACAACACATATCAGACCACGCAGKTGTCCAATGTTGTACAGCAAAATAATCAGCCAAAAAACAACGATTTCCTACGAATTACACCATCAAGAAATAATAACAACATCGGTGGTGGTTTCCAATCAGCCCGGATTAACGTGGCGCCTCCTACTAACTTCCAGACGAATAACGGGTTCCGTCAGACGAACGACCAGCCTCAGAMTTTCCAGCAAAATGCCATCAACTACAACCAAGGTTTCCAGTCGGATAAAACTACTTACTCCACAACCACGCAAAACTTGAACCCAGCAAATTTCCAGTCAGACAAAATCTTTACGACGACACAAAAATACATACAGAACCCATCAACAAACACCTTCCAGTCACAGGG